AGCGGGAGAGATAGAGGTTTCCCCGGTAACGGCTGTAATCAAATAAGCGCTCCGCTCACAAACGCTGCTCAGGCATTACAGGCAAGATGAGATGAAATGAAAATGACATCCATAATTTTCTGAAGACAGTCGGTTTCCTTCAGAAATACAGAGATATAAAAACACCCGCACCGGGTTTCGACTTTGACACGTGCAGTGCTCATGTTTATTCAACGAAGTCAAAGCCTTTTGGAAAATCTATTTGTGGCTGTTAGTTTTGATATTGTGGCAGGCCGCCTCAAATAAATCAATGTATGGGAAACACAAATATTAAAAATTAAAATGAAACTTACCTGCTTGAAATCTTTCATTTGATCTGGGTGTCTTTAAAGTGTTTTGTTAGTTTGGTGTGTTTCCTCATTTTGATGTCGCCACTTTTATGAAGAGAGCACATCTGCGCATCAAGAACCGGGTTGACCGGGTACTCGGTATCACCGGTACTTAAAAAAACCTGCTACCTTAACGTTTTCACTTTTTTAGTACCGACTTGGTACCGAAGTACCGGGTCTTTTGACAACACTACTCCAAAGAGAAAGGAAAACTTGAAATCGCATCATATGACCCCTTTAAGTGAACATAAACAGTAGGGAGAACGTGTTGTGCAGCTGTGCATTCGGTTTTAAAGGGACAGCAGCCTAATTTAGTTGCTATTGTCCGAGTCATTGATGTTAATCAAGCAACAACAGAAAGACAGAAAATCACGCACTGCTCTTGACTGAAAAACTTTAGTAGCCCTAAAGATTAATCTAAATTTATTTATAGAAATAAATGTGTCTGCTTGAAAGAATGAAGAATATGGTAAACAAGTTGCTATAAAGAATGCATTATTGGCCTATATAACCATTGGTATTTCATTAAAAAGAAGACAATGTTCTTGTTCTTTATGAGAAGTGGTTTTATTTAATTTTAACATAAAGGCATGTTGTGTGTCACCGCAGTTAAATTGGTGTCTATCATGATAAAACCTTAATATCAAACCTATATAATGAGTTTGGAAATTTTAGAGAAATGCTTAATAAATGCACTGTAACTAAACCCATTAGATTTTAGCCGACTACATTTACTGTAGATTCAGTCGACTAAAACTAGACTAAAACTAAAAACAATTTAGATGACTAAAATATGACTAAAACTAAATGGCATTTTAGTCAAAAGACTGACTAAAACTAAATCAAAATTTGCTGTCCAAATTAACACTGGTGTGTGTATAAGTGTGTGTGTGAGTGGATGTATTGGTTTTGCACTCATGATGTTTTAGAGTTTAACCCCATCATTGCTGTGCACTTTTTTTCTGCATTGTGGCAGATTTGTAGATTGTACACACAAAAATTCTCTGAATTTTTGTCGATTTCCCATTCATTTCCTATGGTCGGTCATTTTTGACCGAAGACCACAATTGTGATTATTTTTTTTATGACCACTTAGCCTGCTCGAATCATGCCCTCAATTTTTTTTGTGTTCACATTCCAAATGCCATAAAAGTCACCAAGTTTCGTATCATTCCCATGAAGCTATGATTTGTAAAAATTCAAAACAGAAAATTAAAGCGATATGAAAATGTTCACCTACCAGTGCCTAGAGGTTCCTTCTCATGTGAAAGCGAGATTTTTATTCCAAGCTGTGCAAATCACAAATAAGTCCGTATGACTTTTGATATTCACCACATAAAAACACAAAACTGCAATAAACGAGTTAAACGCAACAAGCATACCCTCTGCTCCTGAGCTCTCATCTCTCGCTCCAACAGCTCAGACATGTAGCTCACAGCCAAAATCACATGACGGACTCCAGCCTGACCACAGAGACACCAAACATTAACATTACAAGGCTGTAGATCAATCAGAAAAAGCACAAATGTAGGGAAAGCTGTCCTCCTGAGCTACCTTGACCAGAGCCTCCACCTGATGCAGCAGGATGGGTTTGTTGCAGAACTCAACCAGAGGTTTGGGCACAGTGAGCGTGAGCGGCCGTAACCTGGTGCCATAGCCACCAACCAAGATCAGAGCTTTCATCGTGGGTCACTGGAGCGGGACGCTGTCAGCGCAGACGGGCATCAGGTGCGATTACTTGTATATGGTGCCTGAGAAACAAAATGAGAAACATCTGCAACAATCCTCATTACATGAGTGTTTATAAAGGGCTTCGGACACTGGTGAATGTCACAGTGGGACATATTTGACACCTTATTGTCCCATGAGAACACACCCACACAGCACACCTGTAATACCTGAAAATCATCTCTCTAACAACCAACTTGACTCTGATATTTTATCCATCCAGTCAAGTCTGGACACACAAACACATTCTAACACAACTGGAAATGATGCAAGGACAAATCTTAAACATAGCATCTTATATTTAATTATTTCTATCTTTTTCGGTCTATGTTACAGTTTTGAACTCTCAGGACAATTTCTCAACCATTCTGGGATGTGTTTTTAAACAGTATTGAAGAAGTTCACCTGTATTCTGGACACTTGTTGGCTGCTTTTCCTTCACTATCAACTCCAACTCATTCTTTTTTTTTTTTTGGTATCATGCTAATAATAAATATTATTTTATTTTTGTAATTCATTTTGTATTATACTTTGTTCATAAGTAAAGTCATTTACAAGCATTTAATATTTAACTATGTAAAAATTATAAAATATTAATACCAACACAAACACAAATACAATAGAATTTAACCAATACAATTTAACAGTTACGTGTAACAATAATAATTATTATCAGTAGTAATAGTAGTACATACATAGCGATGTTTTCTACACACTACTGTAACTGTTATATATCAGTAAAACTGAACAGCTCATGTTTCATATGATTTAATGATAAACTCACCCAGATTCACCTGCTGCACTGGTTTGATTATTACCTTCAAATGATCCACAAAACAAAGGTGATGGCTTTTAAAGTCACTTGCACAGATGAGCTCTATTCACGGTTTCTGACAGATTTACAGATCTATAATATGAATATATTCACCACGGAATCGTAATGAAGCGAGTTCAGTTCCGTAGTGATGACGAGCCAGAAAGAGGGCGGAGCCACTAGAGCGTCATGGGTCAATGGACTGTACCACTATTGCGAGGGACTCACCGGACATTTGCCTTACATTACGGAAGATTTTACGTCTTGCCGACATCTTTTAAACGATCGAAGAGTATCTTATAACTACTTGTTTTATGACATAATATGTCATGACGCTAATTAAAAACAAAATAATGGATTAACAGTTAATATTGGCTATGGTCTCCCCCCATTAAAATGACACACGCGGCCTCATGGACCAATCATTTAATAACAACGTGGCGCGGAAGTGAAGAAGAGCCGAATCAAAAATCATTCCATAAGAAAAGTCAAGCAGCTTTATTTATAACATGTAAAATACATGAAAAACGGTGTGACAATATTGTTTGTTTTGTTTACACGCGCCATGTTTTTATAATATAGAGCTTAATCCTCTTCATTTCATAATTGATGCATTTTGTGTTCACGGTCAAAACTGACTTGTTATAAATAGAATTGGGCGACTTCGTACAGTGTCCACCAGATGTCACCTGAACTCTAACCTGGAATTGTAACTTGCCTCGCCTAATACTAGTATTTTATCATGCTATAAATTACATTTATAATTCATTCTGCTTTGCACAGTTTCCGTTTTAACTGGTTCCATGATTTCTGTAGTCCATGAGTTTCAAGGACTCAATAAAGACATGTTTAATGCATGTCTTGATCAGTCAGAGCATGATTTGGATCTCTAAAATGATGTGTTTGCAGCAGTGGACTTGTAGTAATGTTCAACATCACAGATCAGTGATGGCGAGAAACAATAAACCCAAACAAAAATAAATGCACTGAGCTTTATACAGTATGTGCTTCAAAATAAAAAGCTTATTTGTATAGACATATAACACACAGATGATTGTTTGTGTGTTACCGAATAAACAAAAAGGCACTTTCAAACCTTGTGCCTAAATGAGAATATTAACAGGAACGTGGGAAATGTGTACATGTAAAACACATCTTGAAAAAACGAAGTCAAATGAAGCCTGCTCTTACATTACTTGTGTCTCTGCCACTTCAATTTCTTCCTAATGACAGAGTAATCAAATCTGACGCGGTGCAAAACTGAAGGAAGAGGGACAGGTATTGTTTTTCTCATTCTCTGAGAAATGTACTTCGATACCTGCCCGTGTGTATTTGCTGTTGGCTGTAGTTCATCTGAAGCTGATGTGACATAACGCCGCCGCTCAATCACAAGCACGGCCTCTGATGTGCTCAGTATTATCTGCTGGTTCAAACCGCTCTTGAAAGATGGTTCTGGAATCCCTCTCTTTCTGTAATACAGTAAATCTGTCCCAGTTGTGGGGTACGATGGCCTCTTTGTGCTATGACAACTAATTACCTTGTAAATGTATATTTCTCTAAATGACACATTGACTGATGCATCATCATCATCCTGCACATGCTGAACTATTATCTAAACATATTACACTTTAACAGTTCCAAGTTTATTTGTACAGCGCTTTTCACGATACAAATCGTTGCAAAGCAACTTTACAGCAAATTAAGTTTCTACAATATTTAGTGGTAGCTTATCAGTGGTGACTGTCAGTAAATGTGCATATGGCAGAAATGTTAAGAACAGTAAATGCACATTGTTGTTAAGGGGGGCATTTTCCCAACATACTGGAGCAGCTTTTAGGTCTCATGTCAACAATTAACAATTAATCGGTTTCTGTTGTGACTGGTGCTATCATTTGCTGCCTTTTTTTGTTTGTTTTGTTTTTTGCTGTCCCTCAGGAAATGCATATTGCATTAGTTTTAGTGGTTTTCATTAATACCAGGTCTTGGTTATTTTACATTGTAGAAATGAATCAGTTGTTCAGGTAAATTCTCTAGTACATAATGAGAAATTCTTTAAGTTTTGGCAGGTAAGTTGATGGAACTAAAATCTTTCTATTATTTTTGTTTACATAACATATGTGTACTGTGTATATTAATTATTTATATATAAATACACATGAATGTATATATTTCAGAAAAAATTATGTTTGTATATTACATATATTTACAGTATATATAATATAAATTATATGAATATAAATATATACATGTAAATATTTTCAAAATATATACTGTGTATGTGTATTTATATATACATAATAAATATACACAGTACACATACATATATTATGAAAACAAAAACGTAATATTTAACTAAATATTTAACTTAACTATATATTTTCAACCTAAATAAACTGTTTCACAATGTTCTGGTTTTGTGTTACAAACATATAAAAATGACATTTATAAGGTACACTGAAAAAAATGGTATATAAATCATTGATGCGATTAATCGTTTGACAGCACTAAAATAAACTAATGTGTTGGGTCTTGGCGGAATAGATCTGCTATGTGCTGCAGCAGAGCAAGCACTGAGACTTGCTTCTGCCAATACATCCACAGACACGCTGCTGTGAGCATGTAAGAAATACTGCTGCTGCTG